CTCTTTATTTACTGACTTATCCGTAATACAAGTGTTTCAAGGAACATCGGGGACCCGAACAGAACGTCTACCGCAGTGCCGCTCATGCAGTCGAGTACGGGGATATTAAAGCGACGCCATTTTGAGCGCACGGTAAATCGGAGTACAGTCTCGGACGCGTTAAAGAGAAAGATCGGCAATCGATTACTCGCAGTCATAACTATACCTTTAAAACTTCGATTGATTACTCAATTAAGTGGCGTCGCAAGAAATTGACATTACTTTACAAAAAAAAAAAAACAATGTATTTCTCACGAATCATGCCAACCCTTCTTCTTATTAAGTATGTATATTTTGTCGTGTAACTGCTACTTCGTGATGCATACCACAGTTAGAAGTCGTAATGTATATGCACTTTTCGAACTGGCCATCGATTAGAAGAAACCAGGCCGGCTTGCTAGAAACAGCGTCTCAGCTGAGACTGGGTGAAAGCAAGCGCTGCTAAGGCCAGCGCATGAACTGAGCGGGACTCAAACCGCGTCTCAAGATGCTCACGCGCCCCAGCCTTTGCGGTGCTTTCTTTCCTGATAAGCTGTCTATACACCCTTTTTACACGGGCACACTTAACTGTAGTTACGCTTAGTCACCGTTATTACACAATACTTGCAGAAAACATTCTGCGGCTATACAGTCAAAGCTATGGGCGCACATGTGCTTGAGCATACTGAGCACCCATCACAGCAGTGCACGCGCACTCTTCACTTCTTCTGAAGTAGCTGTCCAGGAGTATAGCGCGGTAACAGTGGCGCCGCGTAACAGCAGTTAAAGGTGACTTAACTGCGGTTAACTGTGCCCGTGTAACACTTGTATTACCGGCCCAGACGTAAACTTAAGGCGGGCATACTTATTATAAATTCTTATGCGATAAAGGTGATTCAATGTGTACATGCCACTCCACTGGAACATAGTGTGAGCCACAATGCCACATCAATAAATCACAGCTGGAGTGTTTTTTTTTTTTTTTGTTGCTTACGGCAATGCTTATATCTATTCTATTCCGCATGAAATGAAAGGATTCAGTAGTTAATTAAAGAGTTGGTTTAGTCCTTGTTAAGATATAGAACGAGAAATATAGATATCTCGTTCGAAAGTAAACAGGGATTGTCACTTGAAGAAAAATATATTCCAAGTAACTAGTGGATTCTTATAAAAAAAAAATTAGCAGGGCGACTCCAAAAAGAACGTCGAGTATACCTAGGTTTGTGATTGTTTCTTTATAGATCAATAAAAAATATCTAAAAATAACGTTAAGTTATAATTGTTTAATCCTGGAGTAATTGTAATTAATTGCTACCCAGGAAACATCGGGATTGTTTACTGGTACTGTAATTGTAATTGCCTATAAAACCAATCCTCAGAGCGTGTACTCAATGAGTAACAGAGGCGTGTAGATATGTTGCTATAAAATGCTGGACGCGTAGTTCGCTCACTCTACACGGCCTCGCGGAAGAATGTACGGATAACACAGAATCGCAATGACTAAGAGCTGATGCATTGCCATGCTATAAGAAGGTTGACCAAATGTATCTATTGCCTTCAAAACGAGCACATTGGCTAACCTAACTTCATGAGAGAAAAAAAAATTACACTAACATGAGAAAGAATAAGTTGCATTATTATCCTTTCCTAATCAAGTGTATTTCTTAGTCCAACCAGTCGTCTACCAACTTATAATTCCCCCAATGTTTCAGGAGGAGGATCCGAAAAACCCAGACACAACACGAATGAAGTCGCTCAACTTCGTGCGGCGGATCGATCAACGAAAACGTTTACGGCTGACTGTTTAAAATTAAATGAAAAACGTGCGAATGTAAAGAGCCGACCTAAACAGGCGAAGCCGCTCACACATAAAAAGGAGACCGGTCTCTGCCAAGTCGACCCGAATATCGATTATGCTTATGAAACGTAGAAAACGAAACCTCAGAATGCAAACAACCCAGGGGAGACTGACTACGCGACGAAAGCTGAACAAACACTTTTCTTTTTTTCCCCCCGAGAGAAAAAAACAAACAAAAACAGAACGGTCCAACCCTAAACCCCAATAAATATATATATAGGCTAATTTTATTTCAAATCGTGCAAGAAAAAAACTATCGGTTCTAAAAAATTCTAGAAAAAAATATATGTTGGTGGAAAATGTGTGACTAGAACAAAACAGCAAATCAGAACTGGGTAAATTTTTATGTTATTGCGTTTTGGGCTTCGAAAGGAACGTGGGTCTTGCGATTCTTGCCGTTTTCACTAGAGACACATCTTGGAGTCGCGCAACGTTTAGTGTATCAGTAAGCAAGTCTGAAGTGGCGATAGGACCCGAAACTTAGAGACAATACTACTGCAAATTACAAGTGCTGTCAGACGACCTAGATATTGCTACTGCAGAACAGAACTATGTGCAAAAACAGGCGAATAACGTCGGGATGGTATGGCAGCACACCTAGAATCGACAGTAACAGATCACTTGGATGTGTATTGCTTACACCATATCATGACGAAGCAGAGGACATCTTTCCGTGTACATATATGGCCTAACGACAAGACCGGAAGTGTGCAGGCGAGCTGGTGACAGTTGATCATTTTGTGTAACAGCCGAAACTGTGGTTAGGTAAAAAAAAAAGTGGAAAGTGACATGGAGGAGAACTTCTCAGTAGTAGAAGAAAAAGAAACAGAAGGGGTTATTGGTGACATGGGCGAGCAAAAAGGCCGTTTTGGTCGGCATTCAAAGGTTGACCAAACGTTCATTATGATGTCTTTATTTTTTGTAATTCTGCTTTCCTCCACCGAAATAAGAACAATGTCATACTGTCAACTTCCGTGGTGTAATTTTAAGAATGCGATGATTTCAAGCTTCCATCGGGCTTTTTACACATACCATCGAACTTAGTTCGCAACTGATAATATGTAGCCAAAATCACCGCTCGTGACGTCACAGCGAGGCAAATCCTAAGCGTGACGTCACGAATGGAAGTCATAAGAGGGCGCCACGAAAACATTTCGGCGCTAATAGTCCGTCGAAGAAAAAAAACTGTCTTCTGATTATTCTATTTACTTATAGTGATTATGGACTAATAAATCGATCCATTGTATTACAGTGTTATTCGTGCCTCTCCTAAATAGACCTATTGCTAAATTACCCAAGCATCAAGGAGAATGCAGGGATTGGTGTTCCACGAGCCACACGCCTTCCCCGTATAAAAGAATCGAAGTAAATAACCAAAATAAGGCGTTGACGAACGTAAACTTGGTTTGCTCTGTATGTTTATACAGCCTTCATGGAGATACGCCACAACGGGTAATCGGTCTCTTAGCTGCAGATGAGAAATTTAGCCAGTGCAGTACAACCGCTAACCTGGGATTTTTAACATGCATTACACAATAGTGATTACACGAACGCGTGCCGGTACGAAATTCATCCAGATCGAAACGGGCGGGGGCGGTAGGGAATCGAACCCAGGAGGTTCCCAGCGCAAGCTTTCGCTCCACGCTCCGAGCTGGGACGCTGAACTCCATGGGACGAATATGCTGCGAATAACCGACGATTTTTGCCCGGCGGCGTTTGCTCTGCGCGTGGAATCAACACAATGGCTCCTATGTCGCGCGCAAAGCGAACGTGCCGTCGGGCGGCGTTCGCCAGTCATTCGTCACATAATTCGTTCCATGGTGTTCAGCCTTTAGCCCACTCGGCCACTTCCTTCCCACCGTTGACGAACGCACGTGTAAGATGCAATTTGTTTTAGGCATTTGCTTTAGAAAAGTTGCTACTGCTGATGCCAGCACGTGCAGCAAGTGGAACACCAATCCCTGCATTCTCCTTGATGCTTGGGCAATTTAGCAATAGGTCTATTGAGCGTTTTGTTTATTGTTGAGCATGCAAAAGTGATAATAAAAATGTCTTTTCATTGAGAAATAAAAGCTTGGCTGCGACGTTTGTGTATGAAATACCACAGTATGTTTGTTGAGTGTGTGTCCCTCTTTAACATTTTTGTGCAGTGGAACATATGTGGCTGTGGAAGCTTTACCGGATCAAATAACTTTGCGTCCTGCCCAAATATCTGGGCATCCTCGACTGACAAAGCAAACACCTAAACGAAAGCTTTTCTCCCATTTCAAAGGAAAGTGAAAGTGTATGTATATGATGCTCTAAAATGTTCTTACTTTTCTTTATAGGTCCATACATTTCTCTGTTGTATCAACCCTTTTTTTTTAGAAAGCAAACACAAAGAGCTTTGTAGAGCAATTTAGCAGCACACGACTCTTTGCATGTTACTTCTATCGTTAGAAATTACCCACAGATGTGTTCCGGTACACCTGACACGATTGCTTTAACGCGTACAGTAAAGGCATGCTCATGCACTTGCGCTTGACTGCGGCCGGCTGCGACACGACGGGTTTTTAAGCCTCTTGTGACTACTCCCGACCGGCTGCGCAGCACTGCAGCCGGTCATGAGCAGTCACAAGAGACTTAAAACCGGTTTCTACACCGTCGCAAATGTGCGAACAAGCCTCAAGATTCTACAAGTTCCATAAAATGTAAAAAAAAAAAATAGCGTAGAACTGGTTATAAGCTACGTCTTAATCCTTCAAGCAGCACGCCCCGCTGTCCGCGGCGCGAAAGACAGCAGGCACCGGGCCTCCGGCACTCCGGACACATCTGACACGTGACCCGAGAGGGGCGAGAGGGTAGGCCACGCGCACGCCACCCCCTAAGTTTTACCGACGCACGGGCCGCAGCGCCATAGAGAGGGCTTCTCTGTGGGGTGGCGTTCCTTGGAACTATAACGCGTCGTACCCAATGGGAATTTATTCCTTGTTTCGCAACTACAGACATGGGAAAGGCGAATTTATGCGCCGTTTTTCGCGGCCTCAAATCCTGGTAACGCCGGTTCGCCCCATGGGGCAGTTAATGCTTTCGTATTAAAAAAAAAGACCAGGAAACAATGTTAAAATAGGCCCTTGAGACTCACCTTGAGTAGAGTTCTGTAGTCATACACTCTGCATGTCATGGCGGCCTCTGACTAGTCTCGCCTCCAGGAGAGCGCTGAGTGCATCCGAGCCCCTGGCACGACAGTGGACACCTGCAGACAGCACAAGGAAATGGGACATCGTGAGCGATGTTGCGCGGAAGCATAAACTTTATGCATTTAGATTGCTACTTCGAACACACTGACTTCTACGAGCGCATCGAGCGGCAGATATATATAAACTTCCCTTGCGTTTGTTTTTATTATTTTGTTAATGGCTCGGCAGTCTAAAACATACGTCCTACCATTTTTTTCTTAAAATTTAATGTTTGTGCCGCAATATCGAAAGTTGGCGTTTTTTGCCGCTATCACCACCGACGTTGCTAATTGGGGATCATTTCCCCAGGGCAGACAACGGAGAGGCTCCAATCTCTAGCTGCCACCCAGGTATGCACATCGGCTTATTTACATAGGACGTTGTATTTATCGCGACATATACCTTAAAGTCACGCAATTAAATTAACGATGCTTGACCGTTCATTGTCGACTCGCGAATCTGGGATGCATGTAAGAAGCGGACAAGAGCAATTAAAGTGCGGGACGCTGTACCGCTTATGGCCACTGAACTCGAATAACAAGAGCTAAGTGAGCCAACTTACAGCTTAAGAACGACAGTGCACTGCCCAGTCACAAACATAGCATTATGTAATGGTTACCCTCTTTTCTGGAATGGAGTACGCGGAGTATACATATCGAAAAGTTGAAACTGTACTTGTGCAAAATATGCGAAGCTTTATGTTTTCTAAATCATTGATTATGACGACACCTGACAAATTTGGTGAATGGCTGAGTGTGTTAATTATGATTTTGTATTATAGAGGCTTTTTTCTGAGCTCCTAAAGCAGGCATTTGTCAGGATGTGCTATGTAGGAGAATTTTGTGCGGATTATGCTCCAAGTGGAAATTATCTAAAGAAACGCTTTTTTTCGCCTTCAAAACCGACATTTTCCATGCGGACTATACACTGGGTGCGAAACATACGGTATCATAAATAGTCAAGCTCTGTCGTTTTACCGATGGAAACGACTATACTACGAGAAATACACAGACGACAACTTTCCAGCCACTGAGAACCGATCCCTGAGCTTTACTGAGTGCTAGAGGAGTGATCATGGAAATTGTTGTTTATGGGAGCATAAATAAAGACATGATGATGATGATCATCATCATCATCGTGCTGAAAGCTCTCCACACAAAATAAATAATAAGAAAATAGCCGAATAGGTAGTGCTGTCCTATATTCTGTCTCACATTAAGTGCACAGCCGACACCATAAGCCGATAGGACCAATCAAACGGCATCGAAAGTGCAACGTCATGGTGTTTTTCATGTATCTGTATGTGCTCTATCATCGCTAAACCAATCGCGCACAAGGAAGGCCCAATGACTTGCGGTTTTCGTATCTGTGTTCGTGGACGTGTGTGTTCCCGTCTTCGACTGCGCTCGGACATGTGATGCGATGAAGTATGATGAACTGGGCTCGCGCTTCCACGAAGTGCAAATGAAACCCGAGACGTGCTGCTCCACGACGTATCACGCCACCAAAACCATAACGTATGCGTGGGTCACACCAGAGACTTTACGTTTAGGTCAATATTCTCTTCCGTCACGTCACTTACCGAGCTCCCGTCTGTAGATCGCAGTGGTTAGCTTATCCGAATTCCCAGCGCTCCGCGGCAAAGCACGTTCAGAGAGTACGCACACTCCCATCAATGCAATGGCTGCAGCGACTGTCCCGGGTGGCCCTCGTCGCACTTCAACGCTTGCATGCACTTTACGCTTCGGACCAAAACTACGACGCCAATCGTCCAACTTCACAGAAGTTCTGTCGCGTCAATCGTTGTAACGGCATTTACCAAATTCAACAGTGGGCTCCCAAAGCCTCTTAGCCGTAACTTTTTTTTTTTTTTTCGAATTCACCAAAGCTTGTTTTCTTAATTATACTTCTGTCAAGCCCGCGCCTACTTTCGTATCGTTAAGTCATACAGGAGGAAAGAAAGACCGAAAGAGGCAGGGACATCAACGGGCAAACGCTTTCTATAAAAAAAAAAAAAAAAAAAAAAAAAAAGAGCCCACTTTGGAGCGCCATTTTTTCGCTTTTCACGCGGAGAATAAAATAGGGCCGAAGCTTCATTTTCTGGCGCTTTACCCTGCCGCGGCTTGAAGCAGCTGAAGGCGGCAGTTGGCTGCGCAGTCGATGGGGCTGCGATCGCCTCGAGATTAGGGGGCAGGCAAGAGATTGATCTCCGGAGAGCGAAAGCGTTATGACTTCAAACCTTTTCCCGCTTTTTTTTTCTCCCCTTATATTAGTGTTCTTCCGAAATAGGGCAGACGGCAGCTTACGCGGCGCTATTCTTGGGAGCACCCAGCCGTATTGCCCGCATTGCTCAGCAGTCCGCACTTTTGAGCATTCACAAGAGCGTTCCCTAATAGCCGCGTCCCCAAAACGACTGCGTTCGTCGCTCTCCGTCCTTTCGTTATTAACGTTCTAAGTAGTTTTCGCGCACGTATAAAAAAAAAAAAAATTGGCGTGAAAATCAACACTTTTAGCGACAATCACCGCTGTTTTACCCTTTTGAGTTTCACAAAATTAAAATAAATTGTTTTCTTCTACTTGTCCGCCTCGTCACTTTTACGCCGGGGTAACACTGCTTGTATCATCATACAAGAGACAGTCTGCATACAGATTCGAACGCGAGTCATCGCGAGATCCGTGCTTCGAATGCCGCGTGGCAATGAGTTCAAGGAGAAGACTTGGCCCGCGGCATTCAAACCACGGGTATTGCGGTGGCTCGTGTTGGCCGACTGTCTTTTGTATGACTGATGAGCAGTGTGACCCCGGCTTTAGACCCGTAGACTTCCTGCTCATACAAAGAGCACTGCGCGGATATCAGCTTTATCATCCGCATTCGATCCTCATCCACAGACTTTCTGTCCGCATCCGAACCGCATTTGCGAAATTCGAAACCTCATCCGCGAAATTCGGAACCGTATCCGACCCGCAATCCACGCTTTCATTTTACATCATGAAATCAAGCATGAATATAGAACAAAAGGCATCCGGATAGTATCCTATAAGCCGTCTGCTTACTTTTGTACAAAGAATATTTCGTGTCAGAATACGGTGAAAGGCATTTCATCGTATTCTGTTTTATGGTATTTATATAAGTTGATCACCCTTCTAGAGACACTTCACATCGCTGGGAAGATGATCGCAGTAATGAGGTCGTCTTGGGTGTCCGTGACAGTTTGCCCAGAAGGAGCGCTCAAGAGAAAATAAATTTTAATTTTTTTTCGTTTTTGTTTTGTGAAATTTACTTCAAGCAGACGTATATTTTCGAAACATAAAAATAAAAGAACATTGCGTCATTTTATTTATGCCAGACTATTAAATAGTGGGAGAGGAAAGGCGGTCCCTCACAGCAGCATAGTACTCGTACATAAGGCGCGAGTACACCACTGGGAAAATATCACAATATTCAATAATGTCAACACCTCCTATCGGTTTCAGTTTTAAACACGAACCTTCAAATGCATGCTCGGAACCACTGCGGTCGCGCACGTTAATGGGCCGCCTCGGCAAGAAAATGTAAATCCAGAGCCGCGTATATTCGCATCCGATCCGCAGCCGCAGCCCTTGGCATCCGCATCCGAACCGCAATCCGCCAAATCTGGTTCATTTTTATCCGCATCCGCCAGTTGACTGCGGATATCCGCGGACCTGCGGGGCTCTACTCACACATCACACACAAGACACGGAGTTCCTCTGCAGACATGATAACCGAAATATCTGCGGACACACCTCGAGTTTGATCGAAGCAAGTAAAGCTTCGTACATATATGTATGCTTCGAACATGTCTGCCGACAGTTTTAGTATGCCCAGTGCAACCGCCATACAAGAAACACGCCTCAGATTGTGTCTGGAGCCTGTGTTGTTTTTAATATATATGCATGAGCAGGGGCGACTGAGGCTTAACGTTACCGCGTTCACGACCGAAATGGGCCACCACTTCACTACTGGCTCTCAGTTGTCGGCGTGTCGTTGCCACGCACGTCAGTGTGCCTGGTCCCTCTACAGCGACAACAAGCAAACACGGCTCGCAAACATGGCGGATACACCTTGTCAATTACTCTTTTGCTTTAACCTGAACAGTACACAAACAAATAATAAAAAAAAATACGACAGGCTTCAAAATCAGTTGAACAAAAAGTAAAAGATTTTGTTTTGTGAGTACACGAACATCGGTGTCGTCGCTGTAAAGAAACGCGGATGCAGCCGTAACTGCCACTCCGCTTCCGTCACCACGGTCACACGTCAAGTTCACGCATTTCACGTTGGCATTCCTGTTACTAAACACAACGGCTGCGCCAGTTCGTCACCGCCATTCTGCCAAGCACCTCAATGAAACGCAGAAAGGTCGTCGGCAGACTTGTACGCAACGTTTTGCTTCTATCCAGTTGCATTTTTAAGTAACGGCTTAATTACTTTTCAACAGAAAGTACGAGTAACGTAATTTCGTAACTTCCCGATGGAGTGACCAGTAACGGTACTGAGTTACGCTCGGAGAGGAACGTGTACGACACAAGTTACTCCATTTGATTTTTACGCCAGCACGCGCCATGTGACTTTGAAGGCAAACGCTATGAATGCGCTAAAAAAACTAGGCAATACGAACGACAGAAAAACGATACATCCAGAGTAACGAAAAAATAACTCGTTACCTTTGAGCTGAAGTGATGAGTTCCTTTCGAACGTCAGTAACGAGTAACATACTTAGCTACTTTCTGACCGAGTAATGAGCTACGGTATTTATTAGCTTTGTTTCAGCAACGTGAACTTGTCTGGTCGTTGGTAGCGCGTGGCCCTGGAATTTGGAGCGTTCGTTGAAATCATCCGCTGCGCGCGCGTCGCGGGCGTAGACATTACTGTTTTTTTTTTTTCCAAGTTGACCTAGGCTTTTCCAAACATCGAAAGCCTCTCTCGAACCGGCGTCGGCATACACCGGGGTTGTGAAAAACGAGAGCAAACATCGGAGGGCAAATAGCGACCAGG